TAAGTGGCCTTCTGACTGCACGAGAAAATGTGCTACTGCCCTGCCCGCTCCGGTCTCCGGTGTGATTGATGGAGGAAGTGCAAGGCTTGCTCTTTACCCCCCGCCCCGCCCCACTTAAGGCAGTTATAAGAGTTTCAGTCCAGAGCATACAGCCCCAGTGTGCAGCACACCGGAAGTTTGTATACTGGCCTCTGTTCATGTCTTCAAATGTGCAGGAAATCCGAAACTGTCATCTGGAATAGGCTCCATCTCTTGTGTGTGTTAGATCAAACCAAAGAAGCCCCCAGCCATGCCCAAATGCTGCTCCAAAAGCCTGCCTTCCAGTCCTTACAAAAACCTTGCAGGATTAAATGTGTTAACTTTTTTATTTTTGTACAGTTTCTAAGTGATTTTTGCTAGTGATGTTAAATTGAATTAAGTTTATTTGAGGGGTGTGAGCACCTCCTCCATTTAAATGAACTGGTGACTTTCCTTTTATTTTATAAAAGCAGAAACCCGTTGTGTGCCTCTCGATTTAAGGGTTTCTGATTACATTATTCTTAAGACCAGCATTGATCCTTTATATACAAAGATATGTTTTCCTTGTTTTTTATTACTGTTTCAGAAGAAAATAAACCTTTTATTTTGCTCTGGACCCAGTAACTGCGCTGGTACATAGACGCACTGAGAAAACAAACTTTTGTAACCACCTCTGACTGTTTTTGTATATGAAAGTTGATTACTTTTGAAATATTTGGATCTAGTTTCTAAGTTATTTTTGTGTTTTATATGTTCCCCCAAATTACTTTGAATCGGTCACCAGCATAATTTCTTGGTGATGCAGTGGTTGAGACTTGTAATGAGCAAAGCTACCTGGAGTAGCTCTTTTCCTTGTCCCTTTCTTAGTACCCTGTTTTTTGATTACAGTAAAGACATCACAGATTACCTGAAACCCCTTCAAGTATAACTAGATAGATCCTCCTTCCTTCCACATTTAATTGCTTAATAGTTTGAAGAAACTATTGGAAATGGGCATTTTATATGACACGTATGGCTTTAAAATATTACAAATGAAGAAAAAGAAAAATGGGAAGGTTTATGTGGGTCTGTAAGGTATGGCTGTGGAAAGACATTGTAGTAGTTTTGACACTATTGTTATCACCTTTAAAATCATTTACCCAATAAAATGTTGAAACGGAGTTACCATCTGTGGTTTCTTCCTTTAACCGGCCTCATCAGAGGATCTGGGGCGCATGGGTACTTCTTACTAAAAGCTAACAAACAGTTGAAGCCTTTGAAATAATACACTTAGGAACTGATACGGATTTCTTTCCGAACTGGCACTTGGGAAACCTCATCTGCTTACCGTTGCTCCCTACCGTATGATTTACCTATGTCAGTCATTCTTTTACCCAGCCGTGAATCCTGGCCTGGTGATACAGCCGTCTGGCCTCTTATTGGGCACCCTCCCCTGGCCACGGATCTGAGGCAAGCAGCAGACTTAAATTCCAGCGGCGGCATGGCTATACTTAAGCCCGCTCCAAATTTCTTCCAGATCAGTGTATTACTGGGTGTTTCCCTTTGTGAGCTGGTAGGGGGCAGTAGCAGTGCCATCCATCACAATCGTCATCTGGTGAGGTGGGAAGGCTTTCTTCTTCTGCCATCAAGGCTTTGGCATTTTCTCGGTACAGGACAGAAACTAAACGTGCCCAAGATGTGGCCGCTCGGAGCTTGTCCACACTCATACACACGCTGGGCACATCACACACGTAAACGTATTTCCAGTTTTCCAGTTCCAGAGTGGTATGAGATGAACCCTATTCGCCACTTGAGCTTGGGGAAAATGTCTTGAGTATCGGGCAAGGCAACTAGTGCTACTGCCTTCCAAGGGCCAGATGGGAGCCTGCTTCAAGCAAGGGATCTCTCGGTGTGCTACCTCTATCAGCTGTTGCCTTATCTCTTCCTCTATGGAAAGGCCAGCAGGGACATTGCTGACATACCTCTGGCTCTTTCTAAATCATTTGCTGTCTCAGTTTCATCATGCATATTTCAGGATTAATTTCTAATGAATATATGCAGGGCAATTTTCTGTTACGTTGCCCCAAAACCCCACGCCCCATGTGAATTGGATGACACGTGCTCATGTCCATCACAGTGGCTAAAAACAGCCATCTCGGCTCTAGAGGACTATTGTGGTTTGGACTAGTGCTCCATTAAGGCAGCCATCTGCTCAGGGCCAGTTTCATCATTCATGTTTAGTGGTACACAGGATTTTTTTTTAATGATTTAGACGATATTTATTAATAGGTTCAGGTAGAATGAAGTAATTTAATGAGCCCGCAGCATTCTCTTTTTATAGCATTAGTGGTTAACTCAGTGGTCTGGACAGATTTCAACTTCAGGAATCACACTCCGCCTACCTAAATTCTCCCCAGAGTTTCAGCATTTCCTCTTTAGACTTCATGCCCCACTGGGCACCTTTTAAATTGCTCCACTGCTTCAGAGGGCAAGTGTGACTGTGTGAGTTGCGGCAGCTCCTCTCTGCTGATGGAAAATACTGTCATAGCCAAGGGGTGCCATCCCTGTGAGCTGGGGGGAAGTCTCCTGTGAGGAAACCACACCCGGTCTCAGAGCTGCCAGTCAGGAGCGCTCAGTGAATGACTGCCATTCAGAGAATGGCTTCTCCCACTTTCTGCAGCTCCGACCGCATGAGCCGAGACAAGTGTGAGTTTGGACCGAGCTCTGATGGCTTCCCATCTGTCTGCCCAGGCTTTTCACCGGCCAGAGGAATAGCCGAATGGGAGGATGCAACTGAGGCAGGCCCTGGGTATACTGCTTTGGCTACTATATTCAGCGGCCTTCCTTGATCCCTTTAGCGCGCGGTACAATCCCCTGTTCCGAACCCCCAGCCTGTTGGAAGAAATCTTTTTAAGAATCGGAAAAAAACTGCCTTAGGGTCCAAGCCAGTTGGACCTCCGCATCCCAAGAACTTGGTTATAACCATGTTTAAAATGACACTTGATATATTATGTTCCGAGTAGATGGACTATAGATCTCAAATGGTTTCGGTGGACCCACCCAGAGGGCTGGTGAGGGCATACGCGTTATATGAAGAAACACTGACCTGCACTTGCAGATTTCCATCATGACGGATGATCACATTAGCTCGACAGAGGTTAGATGTAGGATGCACCAAGTCTGGAGCGCGTGCTGGGCGGTGGCTGCATTACGTGCCTCTGTGCTCACAACTGCCCCGGCGTCCTTGAGTTCCTGCTCCCACTCTAAAAGGATGCAGCCAAGTCACAAGGGGCTGGTAATTTGTTTAGCCTTTAGTCTCCCTCCAGGCTGGAAGAACCTCTGTGCTTTTTAATCAGAATCTTAGCCGGCACCTCGTTAAGTTACAAGTACGAGACTAAAAACAGTATTTCACTGTTATAAAGTACGAATGCATACCGGTTACTTATAAAGTTAATGAGAATGACGAGGCCGTTTGGGTGACTATAAAAATTT